CTCCTTCTCTCTCTCTCTCTCTCTTCCTCTCTCACTCTCTCGTCCCCTAACCATCTGTCTTCCTTTGTCCCTTCTGCAACCCCTCCTTCTCTCTCTCCCTCTCAATTGCCAGAATAGAAACCCAACTTGGTAGAAACGAAGTTAGCGCGAACCGCAATCGATATAATAGCGGCCGAATCCGCGGAGCTGTGATGTCCAGCCAGCAAGAGCAAGAGAAAGAGAGAGAGGGGGGGGGGAGGGCGAGGGGGAGGGAGAGGGAGAGGGAGAGTAGGGTTAGGAGAGTAGGAGAAGCGAGGACCCGAGGAGGAGGCGAGGGGCTGTGGGTTATTCGTGGGTCTGGAAAGGGGTAGTGAGACGTTAATTATACATTGAAATTAGTTGCAGAGTTTGCCCTCTGCTCGCCAGGCTAGTCTAGGACCACTAAGTATGGACGACGGGGCGAGCCTTAGTCCGAGCCTTGGTCAGAGATAGTCGATATCATATTATATATTATATGTACGTATGTATGTATAATATATATACATCGGCACATCTTGATTGCACAACATTATGCGCCGGCACATCGTGCAGATTTCACGATGAGACCACTCGGACTGATTTATGCCCCGAAATTCGAAGGTACTTAGTGCGAGGGTTATTGTTGGAGATTTCTTGTTGGTTTACTGATAGCAACGGGATATACCCTGCTCTGCTCTGCTCTCTCTCTCTCTCTCCTCTCTCTCTCCTCTGGGTCCTTTATCTCTGTTTTCCCGTCTCTCTCCTCGTTCCCTCTGCGCCTCTCGATCTTTCCCTCCCTCTTGGCCGCCGTTTAATTAAATTTCCCAGGTGAGGCCGCGATTAGCCGCCTCGAATGTTTTCGGGAGCTCGACAGCTTGGACCGGTTTGCCGGCGTCCAACTCACTTTGCGAGTTTGGAAAAAAAAAAAAAAAAAGAAAAAGAAAAAAGGAAAAAAAAAGAGAACGGTACACCGTGACGTGTAAAGTGAATCGCAATAATCTTCTGATGGCGAGGGGAAATATATATATCTTGTACGAAGATAACTTTTGTTGGGAAAATTGGAACTTTCGAATTAATTTGTGATGGAGAAATTTTCGTTTGCTTTTGAATTAATAATTTGGGGTAAATAAATTGTTCAACGATAATATTTCAACCCTCAAGAATATTCAGAAAGATAAAAATTTTAAATTTTGAGAATTCTTTTTTACTTAATCATCAATAAGAGAAAATAAATGTTTTCAAATAGTTTTCCAGAACCATATTTCCTGATATATAAATTTTATCAAAAAAAAAAAATTCAAAATACAACTATTTGAATATTTGAAATGAACGCATTCGAAAATAAAATAACGTTTTATTAAAAATTATTCGACGTGTTTACCATAGAATGTATTTCCTCTTGGAATCTAATTATTTGAGACTACGCATCCAAGGCAGTGAATAGGATCCGCGAGAGGGTTCGACGTACAATC